AAGGACTTTACACTCAAAAAGAGCATCTTAATACATGATCCTTAAAAGTGTACCAATTTGTTGTTCTGGGCATTTCTTGAAATGACTGATGCTGTTGTTTCTGTTTGGAGGACATCCTGAGATATGGATATTAGTGGTGGACTGACAATCCATCAGCCTGTGTTTCAGTGGGTTACTGTGCTGAAACAAAGCAAACAGCTGATAGCCACCAACATGACAGTTCTGGGACAGTGGCCTGAGCTTTCCACTGATAGATCAACTGTAAGTGGAGTGGTCAGTCACACTGGGTCAAGGAAGATTCACCATCATATAATGAAAGAAACATTTACTCATGTTGTCTTCACCTTCTGATTAACACATTTTCCCTGTTTCTCTAGGATATTTACCCTTGCCAAGGCCGGGGCTAATGTTTTTCTAGCATTTGTTTGTTTGCTGGTTGGTTAGGTAGTTTGTTAATAGAATAACTCAAAAGGTAATATGTTCATCAGGATCTTTATGACATGGCAAACACACAACCTGTTTTCTTTCACCTGCTGCAATTTAGCTGAAGTAATATTATGCAACTACTTCAGCTAAATTGTAACAGGTGAAAGAAAACAGAGGTGTGTCATTTCCCCCACATAAATCGTAGGACCCGATTAGGTCCATGGGCCAGTGACGCTTGCCCCCGATGGGTGCAGTGTTGTAGTTGGTTACCCAGTGTTCGAGTCTCAGTCAAGTCTGAGTCACCAAAGAATAATCCAAGTCATGTCCGAGTTGAGTCCCTGTTATCCAAGTCAGAGACATCAAAGTGTGCATTAAACATAACTGACATAGCTCTCACCATTTTCTATTCCAAATTTTCTAATAATGTATCGCAGAGGTCACACTGGACTTTCTCACTAAGGTCATAAAAATTTAATCAGAATTTATTCTGAAAAAACTTAGAAGAAATCATCTGGACATAGTTTTAGGTAGACAATGTTTCACCTCTCATCCAAGAAGCTTCATCAGTTCTGTCCTACTGGTGGTGAACAGGAGGTATTTATCCCCCGGGGGGTGTTTCAGCACTTCAAAGGCCAACAATGTCCCCTATCGACTGATGGTAAATTAGGGCGGAAATTTCCACACACCAGGACAATAGGCGTCAGTCCACATGTGACCCGGGTCAGGTATCAGTGAGGTAATTACAGTTGAACCCTCACATGTGGACTGACGCCTATTGTCCTTGAACCACAAGGAATCCTTTCTCATGGCCCTTAAAATTTGGACCTGAAAGCTGAACCCGCGATCTGCTGCCGCACTGGAGACTGGACTTGGGAAACATTACTCTCAGGAAGTGATTAGAGAAGTTCCTCTGAACATGACATCTCCCGCTCCTGACACACTCACATCACCAGGAGGAATCTGCAGCCCCTCTGTGGTCCATAGTGGTCGCTGATGTGCTCCGTTACCTCCAGTCCGTGGCTTTTCAACAGGCTGTCAGCTCCCAGATTGAGAGGTGCACCGAAGTAGGCCTCAGTTGTCCTTCATCCACGCACCACTTCCTCTTTTATCAATGCCACAACAACCATTTGGGCTTTTTAGTGGCCTATAACGTAACTCCATGGTAGTGTACTACTCTGTCAAAATGACCAACAAGCCTTCAGAGTTTTCCTCCATAAAAAATGCCATCAATTATGGAAAATATTTGGTTAACAGAACCTCTTGTGTATTGCATCATCATATAGCTTGGCGAGTTGATACATAAAAACCATTTAAAGAAAGGTGGAGTGTGTGCTGGAAGTGGATACTGTGGATACAGCATGGTGAACAGGTTTTAATATTAATATTTTAAATTATTATAAGCTATTTATAAAGAAATAATCGAGTTCTCCTATCCAATTACTGCGTTCCAGTGCAGTCACAGCTGGATTCCCAGTCCAAATATCCAAGTGAAGTCGCGAATCGTGAAAATCTGGCCTGGAGTCAGTGTCCTGGACTCCAATACTACATCGCCGGTGGGTGACGTGGGATATCTCATCTGACAAGAAGCAAATAAGCCATTGTTTATACTGTATGTACTTTCATGACCGTCGTATTTACTTCAGCGTTCCCGTCCTGTAGCTTGCAGAGTGTGAAATGCAGGGTGTTGGCATCCAAAGCCTGAGGAACTGAGAGCAGCTGAAAGTGTTAACTGGAAACTTAAAGCCTACATCGTTGGTTTGGATTTTGATTAGAACTTTCATGTGCCATTATTATTTTGTATAATAATACTATAATTTTTAATGCGCATTATTACATCTTATATATTTTATTTGTCAGTGTATCTTATTTATTTAGTCTTTATTATTATTATTATTATTATCTTACTTTACCTTTTTCTGCCTTATTGCTTTCTTTTCTTTTTGTAAAGCACTTTGAATTGCATTAACCTGTTTGATTCAAGTTTACGTCAGCGTAACGTTACCACTGCGGTTTATTTACTCACTGTAATACATAGTAGTACCACGATAAAGACATAATGATATAAAAAAAATCCACACATGAAGAAATACAACTACCAAATCAGTTCAGCGTGTTTACCAGGTTCCCTGGTGGTCTAGTGGTTAGATTTCGAGGGTAAGATGCATATTTTCTAATTCTCACTCAGCTAAAATATGTTTATTTACATTAGTTACAGCCCACAGTATACTAGTGGGCTACGCTGTGAATCTGGTCGCTTCCTGCCAGAAGGTGTGAGAGATGACAGGGTCCCAGTCCCCTCTGATGGCCAACAAGGTGAGTCTTAAAGTCTGATTTCCAACCCCTCTGTGTGCACCTATAGGACGCCTTAGTCCGCTACTCCTCTGGGTACCCTGACTTTCTGGAGGAGGTCATGTTCTATCGGGCATTCAAGGTGGCGCGGTCCAAGTCCCTCCAACCCGGTCAGGAGGGAGAGGCCCTTGTTGGCTTTTGGGACTTTAAAGTGGACACCCTGCAGAGCCTGTATGAGTCTGAGGACCCCCAAAAATCTGGCAGCTACTAATGACATTTGCCTACTGATGCAATAGTTGCACTAGCTGTTGACAATTACAGTAATTTTACCAAGTATCTGATATGTATAGATTTGTCAAATACATTCAGAGGCGGGCTCCGTTGCCTGGCACACAGTTGGGGAATGCCATTCTCTACCTCAGATGGTGAGACAGACAGACAGTGAGTGCTGCTGCCACAGCCACAGCTAAAGCTAAGAAGCTGTTGGCCCCTAAGCCTGCATTTCCACGTAAGCAAAGGTTAAATTCATAAGACTGTGGAAGAATGGAGGGAGGAAATGAAAAAGACAGCTAAAATGAAATTTTTAAAATTGTTTTTCCTTTCTTCAATTCTGGTCCCACACTTAACAAGGGTCAAAGGTCATAAGTGCTCAAATCTGCTAAATGATAAAAACAGCAGTTATTAACATTGATAACGATCAAATAAATTATCCTAAAAAATGAATATAATAATGACATGTTTACAAATGAAAGAAAGTCACTTTCGGCTTTTCCCGTTTAGGGGTCGCCACAGCGAATCGTCACACTGACGACTCGCATGTTGACATTTGGCACGTGTTTTACGCCGGATGTCCTTCCTGTTCCTGACGCAACCTTGACTCGAACCCGGGCCGCTGCGCCTTAATCACCAGCCTAAATAACAAAAAATAAAACGACTGGCAACATTCACACGTATCGCCTATGATACGGCAGCTTCCACTGGCCGACTCGACAGACAGCAGAGCAAGGGACTTTAGGTATGGATCATTAATGTAATACTGTCATAACAGCATCCTGTACAATCCACAGTGTCGACAAAGATTCTACTGAACTGCTCCACATTCCCTATTCCTTTCGCTGCCCAGACCAGGACTCGAACCGATGACCTTGGCTCTGTAGCAGTTTTTTCCTCCATCCCACCACAGAAAGCACGAGATAGCCTTTGCATGGAAAAAGAAAACACTTCCTTCGAGCCGGATTCGAACCAGCGACCTAAGGATGCCAGCATAACCCACTACAGTCCTCCGCTCTACCAACTGAGCTATCGAAGGGAATATAGACGATATACGAGTTAATTTTTCCTTAGAATAATAACCCTCACAGCAAGCAATTTCCGGGTTTACGCCCCAGCCAACGCGGTGCCTTTGCGGAGTTTGCATGTTCTCCCTGTTCCTGTGTGGGTTCTCTCTGGGTGCTCCGATTTCCTCCCACAGTCCAAAGACATGCATTTTAGGTTGATTGGTGAGTCTAAATTTCCCCTAGGACTGGTTGTGTATCTAGCCGCAGAGTTTCACCTCTGACATCTGTGCTGGTACCAAACGCGAATAGAGAGGGTTGTGTAAGGAAGAGCATCCGTCGTAAAGCCTTGCCAAATTACTCATGCGAATTAGATTCACTGTGGCGACCCCTATCCGGAACAGCCGAAAGTACAGTGAAGTAGATCTCAGATTATCTTTATAGAGTTATAACCTTGCCTAATCCCACTAAAATTAGAACACTGCTACAGGTAGGTTTCATTCGTTCTTTATTTTTTTGTATTAATCACTCATAATCCAGCAATTATTTTGCAATATGTACACCGCTTTTCATGCTCATCTCCATCCCACCCTCACCTCACAGAAAATGCCTTGGAAGGCTCATATCCACCGATGTTTGAAGGGGAAACTGCCTTTAGTAGGAATGGGAGCTAGTGATGGCAAACAAATCCAAAGAAGAAGGAACAAAACTGAAATAAGTGAGTTATAGCGGTTTGCTATAGTGCTCACATGGCTTCAGGCTCAAATCTGTAATATTGTTCTCCTCCAGACTTGGAACTCATAATTTGTCTAGCAGGGTAAGAGTTTGCTGTAGAGGGACTACAACACTTTTAACCCCACAATGACATAATTATGGCCTGATCAGACTCAAATCATCCAATTCAGCAAGTCAAGAGAAATAGTAAAAAAAAAAAACTGTTGAGTAATGACATTTATTTCAGTGTTTACTTATAAATCCAAGTATTTCTTTTTCTAATAAAAAAAGACAAATTAAAAGCAATAAAAGTGACTTACAGAACATACAGAGTCATTGCTGACCCAAGTCACTGTGCAGTGTTTGGGCCAACGGTGGCAGGACACTGCTACAACACAACAGGACATGTGGTTTTTAAAAACATTTCACAAGTTTCAAAAACATCATTTTCATTGACCCACCTGCTCTTGAACCATTCTGCTGCTAAAAGGGGGTGGACACAGGACCAAAAGGTCCGTCGGCAAGTCTGCTATGAAACCTTCCAGGATCAGAAATGTTGAGAGCAGGCAGATTAAGGCTCAGTGCAGATGAGTAGCAGGACAGATATATAGAAAATAAAATGTGTTTTACCCCACAGAAGAGCAAGTGTAGCAGGTGAAGAGCAAGGGTTTGACTTTTAATAATCATTACATTTCGTACTCAAAAGTCTACCATCAAACTCCTTTTACAAAGAATAGATGATGCAAATCAGCTTAGCTTCTGTACACAGTGGAAAAAGACTGTAGTCTGCAATTATGTCTTAGTAAACCAATTGTAACAAATCATAAAGGACATAATGTACAAAATGAAAAAGGCAATTTCCTCTATGATGCCGTCAAGAAAGATGCTATTAAAAAACAAATGTGTAACTACACTTCATATTTTAAAAAATGCAATAAAGAATTTACTGTACAGGACATACCATCACTGTCATCATAATCATGAAGTCCCCAGATAATACCCTACCTGCTGGTAGTATACACAGTACACAGATTCTCTTTCTCACACACACACACATGCTCTCTCTCTCTCTCACACACACACACACAGGGGTCATTTACAGACCCTACTCAGAGACTGAGCAGTGTGTCATCAGTTGGTTCAGGTGGAGATAAGAGGAGAGTTGTTGAGATAAGAATAATGATCACCTTAATGATCAGTCACAGATTAAAAGCCCCACGTGACAAACCTTAATTCAGTTTTTATGCACACTGTTATAAGCCTCTTCAAAACAAATTGTCCTGAAAATGCATACCTACAGGGATTATAATCTAAAAGGACTAAAATGTCCTCACTGGCCAAACGCTCTAAACCCTGACCGGCCGACCACAGCATCTTATTTGATTCAAATGAGGCCTCTGAGTTCAGACACCGCGCACTGTGATTTTATCATCAATGTATTACAAAGCTGGATACGGCACAGCTACTCAGCCAATCAGATCATTTTTCCCAGGTACTCACGGTCCTCCAATGAAAAATCCAACATCTGTAAAACTGTCAACAGGACACCTTGAACTCCAAACCAGGTCAATTATCGCTCTTTCTATTCTGAATTTGTACTCCATGGAGGATTTTTACTTGTAAAACTTTCTCAGAGCCTGGAAGCAGAGTTTTATTTGCAGGACAACATCCCAATGTAAAGTCTGTGGGCCTGGTGGGAGAGAAACTAATGAACATGTGGAGTGGGCCCCATAACGCAGAGGTAGGGGTGTGACGATACACTGAGCTCACAAGATGAGACAATACACGATATTGGGTTCACAAGAGACAATATTTTAACATTATTTTTAAGAAATCTTCACAGATGAAATACATGACTGGAAAAATAGTCTTCAATGCACATTCAGCTTGTAATGACTGTCACTTCAGTTCTACTTTCTGAGTATGAAAGATCATATGCCGTAAAAGGCAGAACAACATGCAGCACTGAAAAAGGTTTAGCCACAAACACAACTGACTGGCTTCCCTCTGTGATTTCACACGAGTCTCTTCAGACCCCAGAATTGCACATGAACTATGCACGAGCTTCTAACTTCTAACTGAAGCTGTGTGTGACCTATGATATTTTCACCCTCGCCGCACCAGATGGTGACATCATCTGGCAAAGGCACTGCGTTGACCAAACATGTACAGGGGAGGCCTCCAGTTCAGTCTTTAGTTTTCTCAGTACCATCTCAAAAGTTCTACTAATTAAATTTTCACTAATTTATTTTGTAAGAAATCATTATCATTTGGTGACATCTCCTAAACCTTTTAAGAGTTTTGACAGCTTGGACCAGGTTACATTTATTAAAAATCTAAAGCTGCTCTTTCTTCTCAGTGGCCCTGTGTTTGTTTGTCAGCTCTGCCTCTCTTGTCCTCTCCACCCTTCCCAATCTGAGGGGCTTTCTGATTGTGAGACCAGCCCCGGGATCATTTCGCTTTGCTTTAAGCACTGACAGTGAAACTCAGTGTCAATGGAACTGAACACTAAGGCCTTGAAGCAAATCGCCTGGGCTTTGATTCATCAGGGGTTTTTAAATCACATCTGCTTTTCTCACAGGTGCCCCACTGTTGACAGGACGCAACAGCATCCACATCCAATGAAACTATGTGAAAAAAAATTAAATAAGCATATATATGTAAATACTGGTACCTGTGTATCTAAGGTTAACTTGAACCATAGAGGCTCAATAGTAAGACTCCAAAAAGGCCCAAATGATGTGGCCTTAGTTTGGCCTCTTGTCAGTACAGAGCCTAGGACACGTAAAACTCATCAAGTCAAAAGTAAGAGGTAAAGTATGGAATGATGTTAAATGAGGATTATAGTAATGATAAAAAGTAACACAAGTGGGTAACTCATGGTAACATACTGATTTTTTCTCAGTAGCTTGCAGACTGAGGTGTAGTTTATTAGAAAAAACCACAAGAGGGAGCAACAGCATTTCACTTCACCCACAAACAGGCAGGTGGTCTGAACAAAGCAAGTGCCCAGTCCTTTTATCACCCTTGGTTTGCTCGTGTTTTTACCGACAGCTAAAGTACCTGAACAGTACCATACAAGTTAATTTTACTCTACTCCTATCCTACACTACATTCGTACACCATCTTTCTCCCTTTCTGCTACATTATTCCCTGGTCTCCTCCATCCAGTCCCTTCCCCCACTGCTCCTTCTCTTTGTCCTTGCTCTCCCAGTTTCTACTGAACTGCCCTAACGTTTTACCATCTTTGTATGTTTCTCTTTCAGTAAAGTAAAATTGTTTTAGTCCTGAATATTAGTACCGATTCATTCTCACTTTTTGACATTTAGTACCTAGCAGTTAAGTAGCTAAAACCACGAGTACCATCTCTTCTCCCAATGTCTTATCCTCTTCTTCGTTTTCAGGGTTTTTTTTTCCCGTGCTGCTGCTTCTTCAAACACCCATTTCTGTTCATGTGCTTGTTTGAAAACCGTGAAGTCTGGATAGACTTGCAACGACAGGCAACATCTTGAAAAGTGGTTACTGCTGCAAACAAAATCAATGTCTTCGATAACCCAAAACATCCCTCTGCACCCCTTCTAAGTGCTGGCAGAGGGTTCTTCTCAATTGAGGACTTCCTCTTTTCCTCCTCCTCCTCCTGTTATTTTGATGGTTAGGCCCACTTCTCTTCCCTACTCCTCGTTCTCCCTTGCACCCCTCACTGCTCTCTCACTGTTGTTTTCACTTTTCCATCAGTCCGTCATCCTCTGTGATGCCCTGAGCCCTGAGCTCTTCCAGGACGTTGTCAAGGTGTCCGGGGTCGGGAAAGCCGTGGCCCGTCAGGTTGGAACCAAACTCTGTCTTATGATGGACCTTGAACAGACATAAAAGCCTTTGTCTTTAGATTCAGAGATAACAAATCTGATGTACATGTTTCACAAACCACACTGAGTAAATACTTCAGTTAGAGTGTAATGTAACTGAGAGTGTACCTCGTTCCAGATCACTGTGTCAGATTCTCCTGTAGTGCTCGAAGTGCCAACTGAGAAGATTAACCTGCGGTCCCACGCTACCAGGAGCAGTCTCAGTACCTGATGGCAGGTCAGGTGAAGGCAAGGACGAGAGGTTCATTTGAAACATATGCCTTTAAAATATATCTGCATTAAGAGTGGATGTACATGGGTGTCTGTAACAGGTTGGTGGACTGTCCTCACCTTGCGCCCTTTCTCGCTGTCTGGGAGGTAGCAGTGTCGAGGAAAGCCTCTGGCAGTGAAGGGTTTCCCTGGATTCGGATGCTCTGGTCCCTGAAAGGAGGGTGAGGGGATTAATAGTATGTTCATGCTGATCACCCTAAAAGCAACACTACTGTCAACCCAGGTCTTTTTGAGTACCTGAATGCCTGGGGGTATGTTGTAGATGATGCGTATGGTTTTGCAGTCAGGATGCCCCGGTAGAGAGTGAGGGATGACGTGGTACTCCATCTTCCCTGCCGGCTGGTTGCCTGTCTTTACACCATAGATGGTTTTACATGTAGGGCACTGAAGACTGAGGGGAGAGGAGAAAATTGACTGATTATAGAGTTTATTTTATTAAAGGGAATAAAGAGGAGTGTTGTCTGTCTCTAACTGACCTGCCGTCCTTGTTGCCATTATTATACATGGCCACCAGACACTGGAAATGGTACTGGTGCCCACACTGTACTAGCCGCCCAACTGACTCTGCCCTGGAAACAGGGCCCACTCCTGGACCCTTGTATCCAGATGGACCCGCCAGTGGCTCCATACAGATGGTACAGTCCTAGGGAAGACAAGACAATGAAGACCTTATTCCTCTGTATCATTACGCATCATGCGAGTCAGAACTATGAAAGACAGAGCCACATATATTAGTAATACCTCCTCTGGTGGACTTTTGACTTTCTGCAGGTACTTCTTTACCACCTCCTCTGGAGTTTTCCCTGCAGACAGAGCAGAGAGGGAACAGAAAGGAGTGATGAATGGATAAAATGCAAGGAAAAGTCCAGGCCACTGTACCATTTGCTGGTGAATCATTTCATAAGCTGACAGCATAACTTCCTCCCTGAATGGAAAGGCTGATGATAAATGGACAGATTACAGGGTAAAGGCTGATGTTTCAAGGACAGTGCTTACCCTTGCGGACTTGTTTCTTGGTAGTTTTCCTGCAGCAGTGGCCGAAGCCTGGCACTGGTTTGATGTCACTCTTGCTCACAGGTGGAGGGTGCAGCACGAGTTTAGGAGGCCTGGTCAGACACACAGGCAGAGCGGCAGCACTCATCAGGATTCCTGTGATCCCTGAAATACAGAGGCAAAAGGACTTGTTAGAAAAATGATAATCCATGATTTCTAGGCTCAAAGCAGAGATTCTTCCTCACGGGTTTCTTGTAAATCTCAAATTTTTCCTATCTGTGACCAGTGGCAGTCCATAGTTAGTGAAGGTGTGTATTCTTACCAGCCAGCGCAGGGTGAACAGGACTGGATCCATTGAGGTTCTTCACCGGGACAGTGGGCACACTGCAACAGAAGACACAAAATGTCTAGTTCAGTCTCCTTGCACGGCTACAGTGACTGTCAGATCAGATAGAAGAGCTTGGCAAATAATTTGGGGTAACCAAGAGACTACACAATAAATACTCACTGGGAAAACCCGATGACTGTCATCCTTAAAGTATTTGTGACAATCAAGAAAACCAAAATTCACACAAAGACAAAAAAGATGGTGAGTAAAAGAGATCAGAAACCAGGAAGGTGACAGATATTCAAGTTACACAATCACTTTACAAGTGATATCAGCTGAATAAATGAGTAGCTTGACTAATCTGTTTTTGCAAAAGGGACAAAACGGAAGAAAAAGACACTAAGTTTGCCTCTGTTGTCTTGTTCCTTGTTCTGTTGTGCCTGTTCTCTGTGTCTCAGAGCATACTGCTTAGTTTGGCAGCTAGAGAGCATATGAAAGGCTGAGGTGGGATGTGTGTGTTTATGAGAGCTAATCCATGGAGTTTCCATCTGCTCAGTGAGCTCATAGAGATGGACGTCATGCAGCTGCTTGCTGGGGATTACCTGCTTTGTCACAAAGCCCATCAGCATCATCTCTAACCGACAAATAATACGTATCACACATCAGATCATTAGTTTTTTTGGAACTGTATAGGCTTTTACTGAGTCCAGCATATTTAATAGTAGTGATCTGCGTATCCGTTTAGGAACCTGAGCTTTACTCTCAGAAATGAACATGTTGTGTGAAGTCAAAAAGACTAGCATTTGGCAGTTAGGGGTGGAGTCAAGCAGGTTATAATTATATACGTGCCTTCAGAGTTTTCTCACGGAATCTCTGAGATTAGGTGATATTAATCTACTCCATCTGACAGCTGCATGTGTCAACACAGCCGCTCAGCTCGGGGTCAGTGGCTGGTTAGCCCATTATACACTACACCTAAACACACACACTAGGCGGGCTGTGTGTGTGTGTGTAATTGCAGTGTTTACTGTCTTCCAGTTGTAAAATGACTGCTGGAAGGCAGGGTATAAACACACATGCTGAGGAAGTCTGGAGGCTGTGTTCAAGCCACAAGTAACTGATCACAGATCTGCTGTTAACTGACGTTTGAGATGGTCCATACAAAAGAACACCTCCGTCAAGGCAGATTCAAAGCAGCGCCTTAATGACACCGGCATACAGTCCTCAGCTCTACCAGCTCAGCTACCGAAAGGGTAATAAGGAACTTCCTCTTTCTCATACAAATGCCAGCACTCATCGCTCTTACTAAAGGACCAAGATACATCTGTTGCTTCCTGTTGTTGGTTTTGCTTTAACAGGCTTTCTGTCAGTACTAAGCTGCTTTCACTTAACCTCACTCAGCAACACATGACAACCCGCGAGAGAATGACTCACTGGGATGTGTGTATTCAGCTATGCTAGTGCGGAAGAGGGACGGAGTATGTGGGAATGAGTCTACGTGGGAAACGAGATGTTATTTCACACATTTCAGAGAAGAAAAAGAAAACAGTGCGAGTAGAACAGTAAATACACAGAGTGAAGGGTAAACAGAACTCACGAATGATAGATGTCACTAAATGTGCTGGTGTAAGCTTCCAAAACACACTTCATTTAAGTGCTATTACATCACAAGGTAAAGGTAATTAAACACAGGCACACATATAGTGTATGTCTGAAAACTACTGCTGATGAAGCAGCAACGTTACCTACCTCCTGTCTCAGATACCCCCGGTCACTATCACGTCTTAATCATATCAAGTTTCCATCTACAGATTAGTTCAAGCCTCCCTCCGCAACAGACGCGCTCTGCTAGTCGTATCCAGTCCAAGTAGTTTAAGATCTTACACTAAACTACTGATAAAGATGTACTTATGACAACACACGACTGACGGCCTCCTTTGCTATAAAGAGTCTGCCTGCTGATGACGGATGAGAACCAAAATGACAGTGATCTGCTGCACACACAAACACACACAATTAACATTTGTTGCCAGTCACTGGATCTGTTAATACTTAATAGACTGCTGTGTTAGCAAGGAAGGCTTTACTGTATGAGGTAAGACAAGACGGAAGTCTTGAGTCAAGTCTGATCCTGGATAAGCTCTGTGTAGCTATTTAACACACTTCCCCTCTGTCCCGCTGATGACACACCCACACACACATCCATTATACATACAGGTCACCATAGGAGGTTCACACTCCTGTGACTTTGATTTAAACAAACAATAATAATTATCCTTATCTCAAATATCTGCTGGTGGACATATACAGAATAATGCTTTCAAAAGCTGTGTTATAGCAACAGAAATGTGCCCATAGCATAAAGTACCAAGAACTGTCAGGCCATGTACTGTGGGTTTGCATTACATGTCTGGTCAGATTCATAATCTTATCTTTTTATCAGATGGTTTCAATTGTTTAAAAAGCGCAGTTTGCTACTTGTATTTAATTCAAGCATTTATGTGGCTGCCTGTGGTTAGATAAGACCTACAAGCCTATTTCAGCTACAGCTTCCATGAAGCATTCTGCTAAAGACCAGGCAATTTGTAGCCTTTATAGTCTGTTGAACGCCTCACTAACCGTGAGCAGCAGTTTAAGTCAGTCTACTTGTGGAGTCTGTGTCAGTTTCAAGTGAATTCGAAAACTGTGGTTGTGTGTTTTATTCCTGCAGGAATTAAGCCTTTTGGAATCCACTTCAGCTCCGACCTGAAGCCTCGGATTAGCTTCTTGCCGACTGCGATGGCAGTTGAGGCTAGTGGCTGCCAAAAATCATTGATAAAACATGAATGCTGACAAGTCAAGTGAAAATAAAACATTCTGACTGTCACAACATGGGCCTATGAGGATATTTACAGTGTGGATATACACTTTGGGAACCAGCAGTACTTCCCACTTCACTACTTTTTAACCTAACTGTTACCAAAAAGTGTATTAAAACTGTTTAACTAATTACTTATCAATTTACTTGTTTACATAACCACATAATAATCTATTTATTTGTGTTGTCGCCTTTGGTTTTCCATAAAATGTGACCCAAAGAAGAGGAAATATTAGAGGAGAAGTAGGACAACAGGGAGCTCTGGTGGAAAATAGGACCAGTGAGGAAGAAAAAATGCCGGAGCCATTTAAAAAAGGGTTGATCCTGCTTTAGGGGGGGAAGGGCCTGAATGGGGTTCCAGTCTCTTGACCCCCTACAACCTCAAATCCACCCTCCTACCCTCCGCCCGCTTCCCACCAGATCACACACTCCCTCAGCTTTGTCTCACACACACACCCGCCATCGACTCGTCCTTCTGCTCCTCCTGTTCCCCTGGGCCCAGATGGACATCAGCTGGACTGATTTAGGCACCAGACAATAACACACTCCCACACATTCTCACACACATATTGTCACACATGCTGCACTCACAGCCTCACACACATTCTTATGGACAAACACACACATACACACAGTTTCTCACAGACTGGCTTATAGTACAATATTTGAAGTAGATGTCCTCTGCTGAAGTGAGAAATTATCTGATGCGACAGAAAAACAGACTGATTTGCTGTTGTTGTAAAATCATGAGCATTTGTTGAATACATAACACAGACTTCACTGACAAAAAAGCTCAAAGACATCGTACAACAGATAAAAACTGGCTGTGGATGTTCAGACATGCTCGATATGAAATGATGCAAATGTTTTTTGGCATCCTTGGCAGCCCATCCAACCATCAGAATTCACCTGTGTGAAACTCATCAGTCTTTCCAAAAAATATACTGTGGGAAAGAAACGCTGTCTTGGATGTGTGGTTAAGGAGTTACGCTAATAAGACCCTAAAAAAACGCCCCCACACAATGTTTGCCTATAAATAACACAGTGCTGCCCCCTAATAGCCGAACAGTGTGGTCATGAGACAAGAGACCTATCCTTCAACTATTCTAGTTCGAGCCTTTGTTTTTATTTAGTTATATTTTATTTTTCTGTCAGCCAGTGTGCAGAGGAAAAACTGACTATAAGAGCGTTATTTCAACAAAAATAACGCTCTTATAGTCAGTTTTTCAGGCAGTGTGCTGCCTGTCTCATTATTCAACCAAATCCATATATCATCAATTTAAATATTCCATCATATGTAGCTGTCTTTATTGGTTTTTAAATGCTTAGAAATGTGTCACTTTTGCATTTGATTACCAATGTTAATGCACCAGTTGATTATATACATCGACCTTGGAGCTACTTGAAAGGGAGTGATGTTTCCACTACTCGGTGCTACTTAACGCTAAGTTTAAAAAAGAACTGAAGAACAATAAGAAAGGGAAACAGAATTCACCTATACATGTCTGGGGTCAGTGAAGCTAATGACGAAGGATGATGACCTGATCACCTGGTCGTCAGGTCAGCTGGCCAGGATGTAAACTCCTATGCAGTTAGCATTAGCGGTCGTGCTGCCCCAGACAGCAGCCCAAGACTCAGAGATAAACATGAAAAATTATTTGACTTAAATCATGTTTATTCTGAGCTCTCTCAAAGGCTAAGTGATTGTCCTAATGACTGCCATTTAACATGACCTTCTGATTTTCCACATCTCTACAATGGAGCTAGTGATAGCTACATCAGCACTCGCTTTAAATGGCCAGTGGTCTTATACTTGTATAGCCCTTTTTTCTATGCATTGCAGCACATTCATAGTACTTATTATTTATTTACATATTCACATGCACACTGACAGACCAGCGATACCCCCGGAGCAATTCGGGATTCAGTGTTTTGCTCAAGGACTGGATAAGCCAGAAACTGAACCTCCAATTTTGCAGGTAGGGGACATCTCGCTCTACCTCCTGAGCCATAGCTGCCCCGGTATAGCATCACCATACTCACTTTTAGAGGAAATACAGTGGGTTAAAAAACTGAACCTATCCTTCAAGGACAATATGGCGGCCCTAAACTCGCTCACCTACATGATTCAAATGTCATCAGCTACACACAAAGCATAGACACCAGACAGAGGAGACAGTTTCACTTGGCGCTCACATGTGGTTGTTGATGTATGCATCACAAGGACGCCAACCTGATATGGCAGGCAAAATCTGTTTTTCTCATACATTCAAGGATGTCAGTTTCGTCCAAGGTTTCACTCTGCAAGTTCGAACGTGTGAAAAATCAACAGATGAGATTTTTTCCTGTCTGCAGTTACAGCCCCCTCTATGGGTAATACATGATTTAAATTAAGACTCCAGAGAGCTGCAGTCTGCAACCTGTTGGTGAGCTACAGCAGCTGCCAACACATTTTCACTGCACACTTCTGCTGCTCTGTCTGTATCTCTTCCCTAAATCAAGTCAGACTTCATGGATATCAATCTTTCTCTTGCTTAACTTGCTGTTCCGTGGTATGTTGTCTGTATAGCCCGCCTCCCCCAGCACACCACTTCTTTTTCATTCCCTTTGTCTCATACCAATAATCCCCCACTGGAGACAGACACACAGAGAGAGAGAGACAGAGAGCACACATTCTTCACTGCATCTCCCATTAGGATCGTCAATATTTACTGTTTCTGTCAGAGAGAGAAGGACAATGAGAGTGTGTGTGTGCGTGCACACGTTTGCTAAATTCCTTCACAGACGAGCATCACTTTGTATGAACCTCTATGAGTGTGTATGTGTGTGTGTGTCACCACCCTTCCTCTCTCTGGGGTTGGCCTGATTTCTTGCACCACTGTGTGATCAATCTTTGACAGTTTGCTGACTTGTTTCTTTGTATACCCCCCCACTGCATTCCCATCAGCTCTTGTCTCAGGCACTGTCTGAGTATGAGACTGTCTCCACACACACACACACTATCTATCTATCTATCTGTGTGGGTGTCTGGATTGATAGATGGGTAGATGGACAGACAGATTTTATTCTCCCTCCTTAGGGCTGTGATGTCTGGGTGTAGCAACGATACTGACTGGATCAGTATCATTGTCTCTCTCTCTCCTCCAACATAAAAGTGTTTATATTATGAATATGCTGCCAGGTCAGCAATAGCATCTGTATGAAGGAAGAAAGACAAGAAATAAAAGGAGGATAAGAAAATAAAACTGAGAAAAGAGGGAGACGTTGTAGAGAACAGAAAGAAGTGAAAACCAGTGGAGGCTCAGCTTTGTGCTGCTAATGTGGCCTAGGCATGGGGAATCAAACAAAGGTTACTGTGGAGACCAACAATGAGGCTCTGAGGGGCCCAGACTGCTGAAACACCATGGGAAAGGAGGGAGGAGAAGAGCCAGGGACGGAAGGGGGTGGGGGCTGGCGTGCAGGGAACAAGTGACAAGGCAGAGAAATCGGGGACTGCTGAAAAAATCTACATCACAAAACCATCTGCCCTTGTTTTCAGTTTGTCTTTAGATCTGCATGAATTCCATTTTTGGTCTCTGGTGGTGAAACAGAGAATCAATTCCTGTGCAGCAGAAGGCTTTTTCAGTCAGACCTGCACCTACCACAAAACAGGAAAGCTTTCTTAAAATGGCTTTGTATGATATCATGGAAAATGTCATGATGAAACCGTTGTTTTTCAAGTTGTAGTAGCGAGGCACCTATTTGAAGATGCTGATTTCTGACTGGAAGCTGATTAAAATCACTGCACATGTCAGAATCAGAATCAGATTTATTGGCCAGGTGTGTTGGACACGAGGAATTTGACTAGGGCGGCTCTCAATGTGCATAACCCCATGCAAATGTGCAACGCTTTCTCCTCCATGGTATAACTGTGAGCCATGGTGAAGCTGGAAACAGCCAATGCAATCAGTGAATACGCCCTGGGTTAATTTTAAGAGTTAATGGGTGTGGTGGACAGACAAACAGCTAATATCACTTATAGAAAGGTACTACTAGCACTGCTAAAAAGTCCAAAAATCAGCTTTTTTCAAAAACATCCTGGCAAACATCCTTCAGCAGCTTTGAAATTATAACAACTCCAACTGAATTCAAGTCAGTTCTTGAAATAGACTATGAGAATCAAAAATACACAACTGCAACATGGCTTTAACAGCATTTTATATGCAAGGTTGCAGACTGAGATGTAAGAGACAAAAATATCAAGGAGGGAATAGTGATGAAATCTAGTTGGACATTTTTAGCTCAGAAGGAAGAGAAAAAAGATAGATGATGTGTTGGGGAAGGTAAGGAGGAGGTTAAGTGCTAGAGAATGATTAGAAAAGGTGCAGGAGTTCAAGGGTACTTAGGGAAAAAGAGCCAGGGAGAGTCAGCGAGAGTGTTGAGCCTGAGCGCAGGGTGGTGGGGGAGGACAGCATTAAGGCTGCAGTTCACTTTCATTTTCATACAGCTCATTCCAGAATCCAAATTCAGTGCACTCTTTCTCAACAGTGCCAGCTTATTAATGTGCTTTTGCATGTGTCCTTCACCCTAAGTGTTTCAGTTTACTACTTCTCCACACCATGTCTTGTCATCAGATAAGTAGACTTCAGGTTACTGTAGCTACACGAGTTCACAGAACTAAATTTAACACTGTTAATGTATTTAATAGGATTGTGTTTGCAGTATATTGCTGGCTGTGCAAAGATAAAGACTGACAGAGGTATGAAGGAGACACATAAGAAGAGGTATGTTTTAAACGCATCTCACTATGACTGAGTCATATAGTGGAGACACTCTTGGTATCAGAGAACAGGGGTTATGGGCTCAAACATTTAAGAAGAGTCTCTGTAGTCCTATTAATGTACATCTATTGTCACTTAACATATTTAAATAAGTGGATTTTAATGTCTCCAGAATTCAAGGCCTGTTAATACAAGATACATGAATGGAGGGCACATACAACTAAATCTCATTTGTCTCAGTATTTAAAATTCTTTTTCACCACCTTTTGCTTGTTAATCTGTCTGTCACCTTCATCAGGAATTAATTTACAGCATCTCTTTTACCTCCGTTAGGTGCATTTAGCTAAAAACACAGTATTTAATTAAAAGAAATTTGAATTTTCACACCAAACAGATCTAAAACCCTAAGATACAGTTGAATGATAATAAACAGAGAACCAAAATTTCCAACCAAAATGACTGTGAATCTGTGACTCACTACAGCAGTAGCAAGCATGACACCTACCAGTGGGGGTGGTATGTATTCAGGTGGTCATACAGTATGTGTACATATTTAGCAGACTGTACAGACTTAATAAATGTCTGTGATTACAACAGGACTGCATGATCTGAGAAAACATCCAGCATAAAATACACTTTAGATACTGTAGTGACAACATGAGAAGCAGATAAATCTTCAGTTTCAGTGTCTCAAATTTTGCATGTTGCAAGTAAATCCCCTGAAAATGACAGTCTGCTTTGTAATTATAAATCATTTCCAACATTAGCCTGACACTTATGTTAATGAGCTGAGGTGCTTTAGGGTGATGTCAGAGGTCCTCCTCTCCTCTGAAATTACTAAACTCTATCTCTGTGGCATTTTTAAGTTATTTTAATTTATGAATCTCTTGCCTTGACAACAAGCACTGTTGAAACTGTGACTAATGTGATGTACACACAGATACACAAGGAAGGAGTTGGGGCTGTTACTTTTCATTCAAATTTCAAACATTCGTTCGAACACAGTGAAAAAAATAAAAAAATTAAAATTTGAACTCTAATGACGTGTTTGAATCCAACATTGTGCACTATGTCAATAAGCCCAGCAGGTCATTTGATGTAATGGGCTCCAACAGAGGACATTCTTAAAATTCACTATCGGGTTGACCAGCTACATGTCCTGTTGATGTGACAGATATGTTTAAAATACACTCAGTATTTATATTAATGTGTCCAAAAGGGCCATAATACCAGCTCTTTAAAAGTGAATTGAGAGCAAAACAGAGTAGGAGCTTTATGAATCTTGGCAATTTTAATATTGTAGCTTTTTTTAATTGTGAAAAATCATCATACTACAATAACGATAAAAACATGGTAACCTATGTAGCCCTAGAGTGCATCATCACTTTCACCTTCCTCAGATCATGTAACTTACAATGAAAGGCTACTGTTACTGTGTGTCTCTTCTTCCACAGTGAGAAGGTTGGTGTATATGTTTCCTTCACTCACCCTGATGCTATGAGCGCTCTGGACTGGGCCATAGCGATCCTCTGTAATGCTGGTCGGCTCAGCCCGGCTAAGCTTGATCTCTGTGGCAACGGGGCATGGCACACTGTAGCTGCAGACAACGGCGCCCGCTGTGGTTTCATCACCACTGGTGATGGGGATGGCACAGGAGAAGGGGGTGTGGTCACATTGCTGGCAGGAGTAATTAATGTGGCAGTTGGCACTGATTCATTGGCTGAAGATGACGAGTGCTTGGGTGGAATGGACGGAGGGTTTAGATTCGGGTTGGATGATGGAGGCTGAGGAGGTGGGAGGGATGGGGGAGGCGGCCTGTTGGAAGACGAGGAGATACCCAGAGAGGACGTGCCAGCAGTGAGGGTGGCCAGCGACTGAGCAAAGAGCTGGGCGTTCCTTCTTGGCGAGGCGGTGTTTTTGGAGATCGCGAGGCCATGAGGCAGCGTCTGATAGTAATTGGAGTTGGAGTTGGAGTTCTGCTGCTGTCCTCGTCCCAGAGTGGCCGATTTAGATGGACTCAGAGGCCTGGAGGCGGTGGGTGCTGAGTTCTTGGGTCGCTGCATGGTTAGTGAGCGTCTACCTAGAATCTGTATCCCAGCTGCTCCTACTCCTGCTCCTATTGTATTGGTCTTTACACTAAGGACCAGCATGCACTGCTGACAGGAACAAGGCTGGCCCAGTCCAGTAGCCGGTAAGCCTCCATTTGGGTAGGCAGAGCTTCCAATCCCCATGCTGGCCCCTGAAACCCCAACACCCAGCAAGGCTCCCGTTAGGCCTCCACCTTCTCCTACTCCTCCCCCTTTGGGAACAGGGAGAGGACCAGACACTAAAGGGTAGGCCATTTCAGCACGCCTCTGGATCCTCCGACACCTCTGGCTTTGTCTGTTCACCTGCAGGGGGAACAGGGAAAAACACGTCTTAATAAGGAATCTTGAAAGCTTAATAAACTGTTTGGTAAAATAATTAAAAGGTAAGGATGAAGTTAATAGTTGATACCGTCACTGATGCACACATAAAGAACTGAAACAAACCTGTGTCATGTTCTGAAAATCTATGAGGTAGCAGAAGCCAAGTGGTGTCAGGTCAAGGCAGGGCTGCTGGCGGCTGTGGGCGCTCTCGATGGCGATGGCCACCTCCATGTCATAGGGCGTCCATGTCCCTGCATCATTTTCCCACTCCCACTGCCAGCCCTGGCCCGGGGCTGAGGCTGGATCATAAAAACTCCTCCGCACCGGACGAATAGTTCCTGAAAAATAAAGGAAAGGAAAAATAAAAATCTAGTTTTATCATTTTTTATAATACTAAAAAGGTTATGTTACCAAGCAAATTTCTACAGTAGTTAAGAAAGAGCAGCGGTTGTGTTTAATAAGAGGAACCCAGGTGCAGAGGCAAAACAAAGCCAGTAAGGTGGGCATGCCATGCAATTATAACGCATCATTTGTATATAGTCGACAATGTTTCACAGCAAAAAATGACAAAATTAATCACAATTGATTAATATGAAACTGAAAGAACATAAGTCATTAATACACAGAGAGGAGCCAACAAGAAAAGTATTTTAAAAAGCTAAAAACTCAATGAATGCTGTGATTTTATTTCTAAATTATGGATGAATAAAGAGGCCACTCTTCGGGGGATCATAAGGGGTTAAGTTACATTCTGTAGAAGCCAGAGACTGGACAAACATAACGGCGCCACACGCAGTAGCAACCGGCAGGACAGAGAAGCTACATGCACACCAGCTCAAATCACACAACAAATCTGAGCAAGAAAATAAATGAACAGTGCTCCTTCTCTTCAACAACTACCCCTGACTCGCTTTGAGTGAGTCAGCTTTCTGTTGCCAACTGGGAAATATGGAGACCACTAATCCATTTAAACTAAACCATTTATTTTTACATGACTGTAATCACCGAGGCCATAGGTAATGTGCTCCAAATGCTCAAGACAAAAATATTACAGTAACATCTCAGGTTTGACTTTGCTCTTACTAAGATGGCTAAAGGTGCTGCTGCAAACAGAGCTTAGCTCTTTATGTCAACTTCATAACGTATACTGGTGTATTTGCTAAGCATAACTGAGTAAACAGAAATTACAAAGAACACCAAATGCCTCTCTGTTTACTAGTGGGATGGATGGACGGGAGGGAGGAGGGTCTCTAAACCGACCAACCAGACGCTACCTCTGTCTCCAGGGGTAGCAGGCTATTCAGTCAATGCCAGGATGAGGAGTGAGTGCGTGTGTGTGTGTGTGTGTGTATTGTGGTGAGTGAAAGACTAGTATAAAGAGGTGATATTGGCAAAGGGGCACACAGACATCAAAAGGAAGGGTTTCAAAAGATGGGGGGCTACATTAGTTTGGTGTGGACAGAGAGAGAGAGAGAGAGAGAGAAACAGAGAGAGAGAGAATAATCAAACTGAGATATCAGCCACTGTATTGTCTCTGTAGTTGTACAGTAGTTCCTCTGCTGCAGAAATATCTAAAAATAAGACCCAATGAGCAACAGAGTTTTTTAGAGGACAGAGTATATGTTAAAGCTAAAGTGTCTGTGTAACTATATGATCACTTCCTCTTCTCGAATTCTGTGCTGGATGAATCCAGTGCCGCAGAGAGCACTTAACCTGCTGGCGTCCATGTGCCATGTAATTCCTCTCTCAAACTGCAGAGCGAATGAGTTCATTCAGTATGAGACAGTCAAATGAGGCAAACATCATCTAATTTTAAAAGTGGAGTTAAAACCACAATGACCTCTTTTCACACCGAGATAAAACTTTAAATTGTTCAGTACGACTACATTTTTCAGAAATAAACATTGTGTGTGGAAGGAACTCATGCATTTTCACATTATGAAAAAACCACCAGCAAAAATGAAATGATTCTTTTTAGTGTTATTAATGAAATGCTACTATGATGTGCAGACATAAATACTGCATGTTCCGTTTTAATTTCACTGTGACCTTTATGTAGTTACATCCTCAGAGAACTTGCTGTGGAGGCCGACAGCTAAAACCACCGTGTACAGCAACAAAGCTGTCCAGTGCAAGAGGACAAAACCACATGGGTGATCTTTTCATATCCTCTACACAAAATATTATGCAGCTTCACTGTTCCCTAAAAGGATATTCTCTTTGTGCATGTATGAATACAGGAGGAGCCACTATGGGAAAGGCAGCTGTACATTCCACAACTGTCAAATGGCATCTCTTTATTATGTGTGTAGTTAAAGCTTTAGCTGTGCTTTGTGCTGGACTCCCTTAATTGGGCCAAGGTCCTGTCACAGTGAGGACAGTGTGCATTTATGTCTAAACATGGAAACCTGGCATCGGGTTGCTTTGTATACGTGTGCATACAACTGTTCGGTGTGTATTATCGGGTTCTGATAAGCATTCCACTCACATATACAAGTAAAAATCTGTGTATGAGACTAGAGAATCAATACATAAGGTTTTGGTGTCTATGCTACAACTCTCTCTGTGTCACCTATACTCTCTGTCCATGTTGGGGCTCAGCTCCTCAAACACAGAGCAGACAGCAGCTGATGGAGGGAGGCCAGGTGATACATTACTTAAGTTAACAACACAATGCTGGTTACTGTATGAACAATAAAACCTCAGTGAGTAAAAAGCAAACAAGAATAATTTATCAAAACACCTGCTAAATAAGCATAAACCTGCAGAGAAGGGATAATTTCAGCTTTATGCACTCCGTCATCCACCACCACTTTGTGTTAACCATAGCCAGCATGTTAGACTAATAGCTAACTGCTTAGATGTGAGCAGCACAGCAGCAGAGTGGAGTCAGGACCACAGCTCCCAGTGAATCCAATACAAACACCAGTCAGGTCTTACAGCAATAAGTCTGAGTTTATTTATCAGGATAATGCTGTATAGCGTCATTTTCTGCTCTGGTCTCAAACAAAATTCTAAAACACTAATTAAAGTATCCAGAGTGGCGTGCTCAGACCTTCAGAGCTCAGAGACCCAGTGACAGGAAAAAATTCAATACAATGGAAATGTTTAGTGCTGTGTTTACTGCTATATTGTCCCGTTTGAATTCTAACCTCACATTCTGTAGCCTTCTAACTTATTATAGAGAGAACAAAGTGAAAATAGAAATACAGTGCCTTGCGAAAGTATTCGGCCCCCTTGAACTTTGCGACCTTTTGCCACATTTCAGGCTTCAAACATAAAGATATAAAACTGTAATTTTTTGTGAAGAATCAACAACAAGTGGGACACAATCATGAAGTGGAACGAAATTTATTGGATATTTCAAACTTTTTTAACAAATAAAAAACTGAAAAATTGGGCGTGCAAAATTATTCAACCCCCTTAAGTTAATACGTTGTAGCGCCACCTTTTGCTGCGATTACAGCTGTAAATCGCTTGGGGTATGTCTCTATCAGTTTTGCACATCGAGAGACTGAAATTTTTGCCCATGCCTCCTTGCAAAACAGCTCGAGCTCAGTGAGGTTGGATGGAGAGCATTTGTGAACAGCAGTTTTCAGTTCTTTCCACAGATTCTCGATTGG